CAATGGCATAGTGGCCAAAACAGAAAGGGTCTTGGCTTTTGTGTGATTACTGGGCTTACCTCAATTTGCTGGTGGACACAGAGCAGTTCCTGTGAGAGTGATGGATGTGTTCAGGTGACTTCCTAAATATTATGAAACTATGGTTTATGTTGCCCTGTAGATGTTTGAACAAGGTGGCCACTTGCATTGTGGTAACCTTTTCTTTCTCTCTTTGAGTATAAGTGGTATGAGACAAGTGGGCACAAAGATATGGGGAACATACAAATGGATAGTATCCATTGATATGCTGAGCCAAGCATTGGCATGTCCCCATCTTCCCTCACTCTTTGTGTTTCTTTGAATGATTGCAAAAATATGATGGAGGCTATGTTTTCCACATGGTGCACTTCTTGTGCAGAGCTGCTGTGCTGTTCTTCCTTCTATAAACTGAGGTGGAAGTCATGGTGGGAGGTGCAAACATTGCTCCCTGTTCTCAGACCTCAGAGACTGAAAAAGGAGTTTGCTGAATTGTGTGAGTGCACCCCAGAGATCTGTAATGGAGTTGCTTTAATAGATTGAATTGGGAAAAGGAGAACACTGCTGAGCTGGTAATGTCTTCAGAATAACATAATGAATCGGATTAGGCAAATCTAGAGAAGATCACAAGGGAAGAATGTGGTGACTGGGCAGAATAATGGTGTATGAAATTCAATGCCCACTGACCTGTTTTATGTAGCCTGCTGGAGCGAGCAGTCAGTTCTTATGAAACCTCGTTTCTTTTCAACACTGTAAACCATGGGTGGCCAAGGGGCAGCCTCTTGGCCACATGTGGCCTCCCAAGGGTTCTCTGCCCCCCCTGCTTTCAATTTTTTGCACTGTTAACTTTGGTTAATGTTGCAACAACTAGGCATTATTATGCCTATTATCATTCCTTCTGTACTTAAGACAGCTATTCCTTACTTGATTAGGCCTTCATTTGTTCTTTTGATTCAGACAAACAAAGAATATGGGGTTGGGAGGACATACTGTGAATATGATGCCAAAAGGTGAGTGAAAATGCTGATACTTACAGCTATTGGGCAAGATTATTCCATTGTTTTCAGGCAATCCATTACAAATCTTAGATTACAGCATAACATCTCAAGAGCTTCATCTGAATTTGATAATACAGAGATATAAGAATGCTTTGTTATTTGAGGGTGACACCTTGCCCCAAATTACAGAGGCTGTGTGGCATACAACAATTTTGCCTTCCTCTAAATGTGTACCCTCCAGGAATGTTAGTCTGTCTGTGTGTGTCCATGCCTTCAAGTCACCTGTTGACGTATGGTAACCCTATGAATCGGGGACAGAAAAAGGGCAGAACTACTCAACACCTTCTTTGCCTCAGTCTTCTCACAAAACGAAAGCATGCTCAACATGAGGAGAACGGTGCAGTGGACACAGTAGTGGAAATGCAGCAGGGAATAAGTAAAAAGGTAGTACAGGAATACCTGGCTACTCTAAATGAATTCAAATCTCCAGGGCCAGATAACATACATCCAAGAGTATTAAAAGAACTGGCAGAAGTAATCTCAGAGCTATGTTTGAGAATCCCTGGAGAACAGGAGAAGTCCAAGCAGACTGGAGGAGGGTAAATCTTGTCCCCATATTCAAAAAGGGGAAAAAAGAGGACCCAAACAATTATCACCTGGTTAGCTTGACATGAATACCAGGAAAGATTCTAGAGCAGCTCATTAGACAAAGAGTGTGTAAGCATTTAGAAAAATACCATAATTGCAAAAAATCAACATGGGTTTCTCAAAAAGAAGTCATGCCAAATTAATCTGATCTCTCTCTCTCTCTCTCTCTCTCTCTCTCTTTTGCTAAAATTAGCAGCTTAGTGGATGAAGGGAATGTTGTGGATGTAGCATATCTTGATTTCAGTGAGGCCTTTGACAAGGTTCCCTCATGATATTCTTTCAAACTAGTTAGTAAAATGTGGGCTAGACAATGCAACTGTTGGATGGATTTGTAAATAGTTGACTGGCCAAGCTCAAAGTGTGCTCACCAGTGGCTCTTCTTCATCCTGGAGAGATGTGACCAGCAGGATGACCTGGGCTCAGTGGTATTCAACATCCTTATCATGGTTCTCCTTCTTGGAGGGTGTGTAGAGCTTGGGAAAGTGACTTAATCCACTATTAGATTCCCCAGTCATTGGGGTCACTAGCCATGATGGCTGGAAAATTTTGAAAGTAGTCATCCAAAAAAGTCACTTTCCAGGCTGAGGGAGGACTGCTTCTCAGTGGACCAGTTGTTGACATGGAAGTCCACATATATAAAATAAATCAGCCTTGTCATCTTCCTGCAAAGAACTGTTTTATCATACTCCTGAAGACAGAGTGCTGGAAATAAATTAGTGTGGAGGGAGCTGAAAGAAGACCACATTTCCACATGAAATGCATGAGATTTAGATAACTTTGGTTTTAGCAAAAATAACAAGAGTGGTGGCTTAAAGACTAATAGATCTTATTTGGCATAGGTTTTTGTGGACTGGAGCCCACTTCATCGCCTGTAGCAGATGAAATAGACTGCAGTCCACCAAGGATGCTTGTGCAAAACTGATTAGTCTTTCATGTGCTACAGGACACTTATATTTGATGCAACAAACAAACACAGCCCCCTTGTAGTTTTTAACCACCTCTTTGTGCCGGAACTGGATGTAGTTCCAGACTTCCCAAAGATTACTTTTGGTTCCAAATACTGACACACATTACTGCAATAAGATAAGCTTTATTGGTGGTAAATGATGTAATAACAAATGAGCACACTACTAAGCTTGTTTTTATTTCACAAAATCTCTTACTTCTCAATCAGTTGCAAGTACAAGTAGTCAAGACAAAATGTAATAATTCCCTTGTTAAAACTGCTTCATTGGCTGCTACTAGTCTGTTTCTGGGCACAGTTCAAAGTCCTGTTATGACCTGTCAAGTCCCATAACTCCTGTTATGACTTGTTGTTTGTTGTTAACTGCCTTCGCATTGGTCTTGATGCATGGCGACCCTATGGATGAGACATCTCCAGGCTCCCCTGTAATCTACTGCTCTTCCAAGCTCCTGCAAACTCATATTTGTGCTCTCTTTAATAAAGTCTATCCATCAAGCATGTGGCCTCCCTCTCTTTCTGTTTGCCTCCACCTTTCCTAACATTATTGTCTTTTCCAATGATTCATGCCTTCTCATGATGTGTTCAAAGTACGACAGTCTAAGACTTGTCATCTTGGCTTCTAGGGATCTCTCTGGCTTGATCTGTTCTAGGACCCATTTGTTTATCCTTTTGGCTGTCCATGGGATCCTCAGCACTCTTCTCCAGCACCACATTATCTCAAATGTGTTGTTTTTTTTCCTATCTTTTTTCTTGACTGTCCAGCTCTCACATCCATACATGGTAATAGGGAATACGATGGCTTGTATCGTTCTGACTTTTGTGCTGAGTTGTATGTCCTTGCATTTTAGGATCTTTTCTAGTTCTTTCGTAGCCACCCTCTGCATTCTTAATCTTCTCCTGATTTCCTGGTTGCAGTTCCCATTCCGATCAATGTTTGATCCCAGATATTAGAATTCTTTTACTATTTCCTCACTGTCTAGTTTGAATGTGTGTAAGTTCTCTGTGGTCATTATTTTTGTTTTCTTTATGTTCAACAGTAAGCCTGCCTTTGCACATTCTTCTTTAGTCTTTCTTAGTAGTTCCAGGTCTGTGAGGTTTTCTACTAGTATTATGGTGTTGTCAGCATATCTCAGATTGTTGATATTTCTTCCTCCTTTTTCATTCCTTCATCTTCCATGTCCAAGCCTGCTTTCCTTACAATATGTTCTGCATATA